AATAGTATTCATCCTGAAACTTTATTTCATTTCTGGTTACGCTGGTCGCAAAAATGTCGATAACCGAACTTTCTACATGTCCTAGGAAAGTCAATGTCGTAGTGAAATTAACTACCCAATAATTATAGTGTATCTTAGGGGGCCGTAAACCGTGTTGAATTCGGCTGGTCAAGGCGGGCGTTGAACTCGCTGACAGTCACCATAAGAGAGACAGAATGTGCGGCAACCTGAGGTGTCGTGTAGTGAAACCGCTCCTACGGCCGTCAATGCCGCCAAGACTTGTCTTACGAAGTCCTCGAGCATTGCTGCCGGTAATCAGACAAGAGACAATCGAACTTAGTGCTTATTCGTATGACGGCCGGGCGAAGTTCTTGGCGATTACTGTTGCTTTGACAATCGTGCTAGATAAGGACGAAGTGGGTTTATCTGGGAGCTTGCCGGAAAGCAGATCTGCTAAAAATGAAAGTTGCGGGTGCCCATCAAGACAGTGACCTACTCGAAAACGACTCGACGGGACTGAATCTTACAAAATGCAGGACACTTTTCATTATTTCATAGACACCGCAACACTTGCCAGATCCGTGATTAGCTATTGAAGATCAGATCCGTCGTGTCCTTGAGCAGATGCAAACATAGAGCACTATTAAAAAGAATCTTTACAACGACGTCGTTAGTGATGATGTCATCTTCCGCTGCTCGATGTGGCTCCGAAACCACTGAGTTTCTCTTTTAACGCAGTTTACTGCTAGGGTTACTTATCGCCTCGGCCATTCGGTTGACGTTCCGTAGCACGAGAGTCTAATCGGACGAAATGAACAACAAAAGTATTGAGGTGTTAACGTTAGTACGTAAAAATCAGAAGCTCGGGAAGCGTCCAAGTACGATCAGTAGATACGATATATGGTCTATAGGAAAGAGATAGTAAAGCGATCTAGGCATGTGGCTAAACAACATCTGCTCGAGCTTTAGTACGTTGCAAAAAATAGTTAGTAAGTTTGATTTTTCTTTATTTAACATACGGCAATGTAAAGTACAGAGAGGTCTATACACTTACGTTGAGGTGTGAATATAGCTATACCTTTTATTAGGTAGAAGATCGTCCAGTACATACAAGTTCCAGTCAGTTGCGATCCTCGTCGTTTGAAATTCACAAGGATTCACTTGAGTCTGCCAGCTCGTTTCTAATAATCTTGTAATACCTTAAATTAAGTTATCACAGTAACAGGAAGGAAAGTGTAATTACCATGGATACATAAGGAAAACGTAAGAGAAATAGGCTCGTCTTTAACGTAATTTTTTGCCATGCTGCCGTTACGACAAACGGCTGCGAACAACTAACGAATTCGTGAAATGATAAATAATTACCTACTAAAAATGCTTACGTCTCGGCGTGGTCGACTGAAAAAATCAATAGATTTGTCAGGACGCTGCCTAATAATCGAAGGGATGTCCCGTCGGTAGAAATCTGTAATCTTTACTGTGTCCGTCTTTACTATGATGGTGACACTATGACCTATAGAACTCGCGATAATACCCCAAATCGTAGGTCGTTTTTTCGCGTAACAGCATCGCTCGAAATTCTCGCACTATCTTCTTTGATAAGTTTTTGTATAAATGTACCTATATAAAATCCAGTATGCTAAATAGCAAGGAGAGATATTGTGATTCTCGACAACGTTCTTTATTTGCGAGTGTTTCGCTAATAAACAAACACTTGAGATACTATCTCCTCATACTGAAGTTCATCAATCTATTTCTATGAAAAGGATTCTTCATATGTAACAGTCTGAAATATTCGGTCTCCACACAGATTTGGATCAATATTGTTATTTAGTAAATCACAGTTATTCACACCCTTGTCAACTATGCGTACCTCGCTGACGTTATTGCTGAAATACGTTTTGACGTAGATCATTGAAAAGGTGCGTTGGGTTTATGTCCAGATGTTATTATGTTGTTCGTCTGTGAAAATAGTGCTCGGTTTTGATTTTGGTCAAATGTAGTTATAACTTAATCTCGTCTATGGAGTGAAAATACGTAGACTAAGTTTGTGGCACACGCGAAGGAGCAATAGTCTTGCAGTGCTTAGATCATGCATACTAACTGAATATGCGTATTCTAACTTTAAACGAAGCGATTACCTTATAGCACGGCTGAATTTCTACGCGTACAAGCACACAGAATCTAAGTAGGCGTATTTGGCACGTAGCCAGTGCGTAATTTGCATCATTCCTACTGTGGTGTTATCGTCGTACGTTTATAAACTAAGTCGTTATTAAGAATTATTCGGTAATCTCGCGCACGCATCCACAGGTCCTCATGCATATTCTACGCGAGGTTATGTTGTCTGTTGCGTAAAAACAGCCACGCGTCTTGTTGGCCGGCTTGGCCACACAATGGGTCATCTATTGCCCCCAATATTCTTCTATCATGACCCCTCCTCCCATGCTTCTCGCACGTTCTTTTCTGGAGATACTGAACGAAGACTGCCTCTCCCGTTGAGGCGTATCGCTCGTGCTGTGTTTATCAAACCTGTGTAACCTTGCAGTCACGAAAAGCATCATTGCATTATTATACTATTTATCCATTGCTACAATATTACGAAAGGCAAATTATGATGAAGATTTCGACAGATATTAAATGTGGCCGGCGTGCGTTTCGAAGATACAACAGAATACGATCGTATGGTTAAAGCAAGGATCGAGATCGGCGTTGCTGTGGGTAGCGGCTGTCAGTGGGATTTCCCTACACAAACATGATTAGACAATAAGAGCATTTAAAACAGGTCCAAAAACGTACAATTACGCAGGCTGTTGTGCGTCCGTGGTGATACCGTACGATGCCACTCACAAATCACTTGAACGAAAAAAACAATAATCATTCCATTGACTCTAATGAGAATATAATACATAATGTTATCATTCAAATCCAATAACTTGATAAACAACGCACTTTCAATGAATGTAGCGTATCAGAAGCAGTCATCGTAGTCGGCTTCAGAACACTTGCTCGATGTAGCGTACAGCTGGACGCGTACGAATAGGGTTTAACGTGTAATGCCGTGAGAATTTAAACCATACGCATACGATTTATGTAGATACCCTTGGGCAGTTTCCCGATGTGACGGGCATTTTCGGCCAGACCGACATAGACCCTTGGGGCTTTCGGGCAATTTTCTGTTGACGACAAAGTGGGGACATTATCAGCGACTGAACAGCGTCAAACGTTGGTCAGCGATTTCGTGCAAAGCAACCACTCGACGCCGGTGCACGGGATCTGAAAATCAAATACTATAGCCCTCTTTGTGGCTTATTCACAGGTTTCCGTTTTACGCTTCGCCGGTCGACGGGTCTGATGCAGTCTGACCAGCTAATCCTGAAGACTAACTGCTACCATTCAATTGCCGCTAACGTTGCTGGTTAGGACAAAATGTCCCAGTAACATATTGTCCCAATGATAATTGTTATATTACAACCACAATTATATTTACAAGCAGATAATTGAATAGGATCCGACGGACGACAAATGTGGAACAAAAATGTGTACTTACATACACATAAAGGAAAATACTGCACTGAGTTAAACGTTTCCTTTTTCGGTCACCGTAGATTCTTAAAATACGAAGACTTTTTTATGTTATCACACTTATGATAATGGTATATTTTGCAACTGGCGATCTGTGGAACTTTAGCGAACAACGATAGAAACAGAGGATTCAACTTCAACGTGCGACGCCATGGCCAAGGGCGATTGGAAACTCCACGAAAACAGCGAATAGACCTTTCTGGCTCCGCCTACTCAGGGGCCATCGAGCGCTAGCTACTAAGGCAGCGCACAAAAAAATTAAGTGCTTCCATAAACAACGTGGGCGACGCATATCGATATGGTGGTAACTTTGTCGTTTTCTAATGTGTAACTCATGAGTATTAATATGCCATGAGTAACATTTCGCACGAGGTAAAATATCGGGATGTTTTTTGGTAAACAGTTTTTTTTTTTTTTTTTGTATAAAAATAATGAGCTTATAAGATGTCTGGAAAAACTCTACGTTAACAATATTCTGCTTCATACTAATCCACGTATCTTGTACGCATACAATACACTCGGTTATTTTTAAATGCCTCGAAGTAGTAGCTAAAAGTTTGGCGTTCTATAGTTCACAAGACGACAACCTATCTAATATTGAGCCCTTCGGACTTTGCTAGCGTTATGACGGACGTTCTACAACAGAAGGTCAACCATTTTTGCTATGATCCGTCCCATAGTGGAGTGCGTATGGTCTAGCCTTGGGATGTGCGCGATCTCTTAAAGCACGCACGGCTCCCCAGCTCAATAACTAAATAACAACATATAATAAGATTAATTAATATCAGGATTCATTGCTCAACGGTTGCAAGTAAAGCATTAAACCTACCAATAAACACAAAGCAGCTTTGCTTCTGCGATCAGCTTTAGGTAGATAAGACAGGTCGGTTCATTTACTCACTTCCACTTAGAAAAGCCACTCCTGAAGATCTCGTGCTGAGTTTATTATACGAAATATTTTTTTTTTTTTTATTAATTACCGATCGTCCCCTATTGAGCTATGTTCCGCGTAAATAGCAAAACCCACTGGGTTCATGGATACTAATCGGTCTGAACAACAGGGTCAATAACCTAAATGATCAACCAGCTACTATACTAAAGTTAGTAAAGTTACTAATATATACGAAAACATTTTTGCATGCGTTTAACCATAGGGCAAGTAGAATGCATGAGAAATAGTGAAGCCCATAACAGCTTTGGCGGCCAGCATAAGTTTCCTGACACTGAGGCTGCCAACTACGTATCGTGTTGTCATTGGCGAAACGTGACTCCCGCTCAGGCCGGTTACTTTCAAAAAATGCAGCGATCTTTACAAATTGATTGAACGTCGCCAAAAGCGATTTTCGTTTGTAATTAACCGCAAAAACAAAAGAAACATAAAGGAGCATTATCCAAAAGAATTAGACTTAAACGACTATAATATCAATCTAGATTTTTCTTCTATTATATTTGGACACCAATTCTCGGCCTTGGCTAAAAGGATATAAAAATATTCGATTTTATTGGTAGATGCTAGCGCCAATGGTGAGGTAATCAGTAGCTATCAGCAAACCGCATACGCGTCGTCATAAATCCATTACTGCTGTTCATATATTAGTTACGCATATATGGAAAAAATATAGAAAACCAAATGCATATCAGCAGAGTATCAAATAGACGTTGCAGTACCCCTGACGAAGCCGTTTTCGTCGGTAAATCACAACATTTCGCTTACGAATAGGTATTAACGTCGAATTTATTTACTTAGACTGATGATGTATTATGAAGTATCCCAGATTTTTACTTCTTAGCTGGAACAACAGCCCAGAACGAGTTGAACCTACTTGTACTTCCCATAACCGACCCCGTAAACAGGCGCTGCCGCCTTCGTCACGGGAGCGCCTAGAGCGGGTCCGTAACCATATCCAAGGCCATATGCTGGAGCGGCAATAGCAGCTCCATAAACGGGCACAGCGTCTTTAGCAACAGGAGGGGTAGCTAGATGGGCCTCGTAGACAGGAGCAGGGATCTTTTCAGCCAAAGGAGTCCCGTAAACGGGGGCGACGACCTTTGCGGCCAGGGAAGCAGCGACCGCAGTTCTGTCGCCGGGATCATATCGGAGGGTGGCAAGAGGCGCTCCGTAGGCAGGGGTGGCGTACTGTCGTATGACGGGAGCAGCAATTCTGTGAATAACCGGTTCTACGGGAACTGTTTTGGATACCATCGTGTACGGTGAAGAAACGACTGGCGCGTGAACTTTTGCCGTCGGGGCGGCGATACCTGCTGTGTAACCGTAGGCAGGTGCATAAGCGGGGGCTAAAGCAACGCCGTATGCGGGTACGGTATAATCGTATTCTGCAAGTCCTTCGGCATGGGCGCCAACGAGGGCGGACACAACTACCAGGGTAAGCTTCTGTAAAATATTAAAAAAGATATTTCATTAAAGTCATTTTTGGAAGATTTTACTATACCATTTGCTTTTCGCTAGATGATGAGCGACGTGCAGTCGAGTTTTGTAAACAAGATTACGCACGGTGAACATGATGCAATCGAGCTGTCGAGCGTGTGATGCTTGGCTCAAACGCATGTCGACTTTTATATACTGACAAACTTTTGCATGTTGACCCTTCCCTCGTTTGGAGCACGCCCGTTTCATATGGAACATACTTAACTCTGTCCCTGTCCAGTACTCAGAGTCGAGGCTTCCAAAGTTCACCAATTTATGCTCGTATCCATCTAGTGACAATGCGCTTTTTCGGGAATGTCACGCTCACTCCGTTTGTCGTACGTGGATTCTCTTCGGTTTTACTCGTGGGTGCCAACAATGGTACGGATTCTGGCACGGAGCCTAGAACCGCTTCAGCCACAGGCCAAGACGGCGTATTCTATAAAAAGATACTTAAATTAGCAGATACGGAAAAAACTGACGTGATGAAGCCATCGCCTCTTTCGACAGATGCACACGCATCAACTACCGGGCAATTCACAATGGATAGTAAGACAGCCGGACGGGATTGGCGAATCACAGTCGTAAACCTTTGGTTTTTTGGCGGACAACGCAATAAACATGATCAATGTGTTGTCCGCAAGAGAAACAAATTAAATGTTAGGTTACTGATGGCACTGCAGTGGCGGACGGACATCTTCTTTCGAAGGCTTCGCCGAAGGCAGACAGATGGAATAAGATGCAGAGGTAAGCTGGTGCAATAGTTGCGCCTGGCAAGAAGTTCTTGGGCAAAGTCATTTACCCGGACAATTTGGACGGTTCTGAGTGCCCACCTAATTTGTATACTAAGCAAATATAATCGGCCGTGGCATATTCGGCTGCTTAGACCATCTTGGTCTGCAAACGCATTAATAATATCCCTATAAGGCTGCAATTATCAGGATTTTTTCAGTTCAGTCATAGTTCACAGTGTAGATATTGTGATGAGTAATCATAGTGTTTAATTCTATTTAATCGTTTAGTCTTAAAAGTATGCATCAGACTCTTTACGTAGGTAAAGCTAAAGTAAAAAGACCTAGTAATAGAAAGGTAAAGAAGCAGAAAAAAATATATTGCCAACCATTATGTTTATGATTATTGCTATTAAAACGAAGTATATGAAAATATAATGGTTCGTGATCAAATATATGAAGGCAAGCAGTTAAGGTAGATATTGAGAAAGGTGGTAGACATTGCTCGTGTTCGTTCGTTCGTTCACCAGTGTATATTGTCAATGTTCAACGGCAAAATTTGTCAAATATGATTATTTACAACAATACGAGCTAACGAAAAGTGACAACAAGTCGCTTCGTAGATCCAAAGAGGTGTTACCGTTCGCCTATTACAGATACAGAAAAACACTCCAGCCGCAATCAACTACCATTTCAAATTTATTGCTAGAATCTCCCCTTCGCTAGTGGACGCAACTTTTTCTTGGTTACGAATCGACCAAGCTTTTAACTACTAGGCAGCGCAAGTGGTAAAAGTAACAAAAAAAAAAAACTTGGATCAATGTGGCGGATTAAATGACGAGCGTCTCTATGATCAATACTAGAGTACTGCAGCGCCACCTCCAATAAACATTGGCAGTCTACAATGTTCTGGCCACATCTTATGCCAAAAAAGTCCACGATATGCTAACACAGTATTAACAGCAGAGATATTAGTAGACTAGCCACGTAAAACGACGTGCGAATGCCGCAATATCACAGAATTTTCCCTGTGTAGTTCCCACCTAACACCGTGCTTGAATTGATGTAACATTTTGTTTTCACAAGTACTACATATATAGTTATTACTCCACTTAGGCTAAGTATTTCTAGTTTATTTTGCAATTTTTTTTGTTTTCACAATGAAACCCGACTGGGTCTGGCTAACGTCTCGTCCGGGTTAAGCAATATTGCTGAAGTGAAATTTATTGAAAACATTTTCTATGGCGTATACGTTGCAAGTAAAAATCTAGCCGTTTAGATTGCCTTAGTTTTAAAAGAGTTAAGCTATTTATAAGACAAATGTTGACTGTTTTATTAGGTAGTAAATACCAGTTACATCTTGAATTGAAAACGTTTTTCGAAAGCTATACGCGTTTCTAATCTGAACGGGCGAGTCCGATTGACCGTCTCTCCGAAGCACCGAAGTGTACGAAGGCACGAGTGTACACGAAATACGATTTTCTCATTACGAGTTTTCTGAAGACTTAGAGGACTCCAGTGGCCTCTTGGCGGGATGGAATGGCGCTAAGGTTCGTAGCACTTTGCAACCCACTTGTGTAGCCCAAAACATGCGGCATAGTGACGTTAATCGCAATTAAAAATTCATAATTATTCTTATCTAGTATCTATATATCTAATAAGTATATATATATATCTAGTAATATAGAAGTTTCCTATTCATTTCCATCACGTCATTAGAAAGTGAGAAAATAGAAGTTATTAAAACTTTATCAATAATTAATGAAATTACTTGCCACGATTCGAAAGTGTAATATATTTAATTTAAAAATTTGAATTCGTAATAATTATCCTTGAAGGCGGGGGTCCAGGCAAAGACAAGTACTCGGCCGTCTTTAGATAATGCTCTATGTTTTCCTTTCAACTTCAATTAATAATGCTCGTTGAATTTATGAGAGCTCGCATTAAAGACCTTTTACTCATTATACTCGAGCGGGTCGTATGCCGTGCTTAAACTCAGTCTCCTGCATACTCATCGATGTAGTTATACCTGATTGACAAACGACGCTTCCTTGATGACTTTGTACTGCTTTACATAACAAACTCAACTAGAAATTCGGCAGACTTCGGTCGGTGCATGAGGCTTGGCTTCAAGTCTTCTCTAATCCATTGGTTGCTACCCGTACTTCTTCTACACTATCATATGTATTGAATGCATTACATTGGCTTCTTATTTTAATTTATTGATATAATAGCAGCTTATTTGTGTCTTCCCTATTTGTTTACCTGTCAACATTCTCATAAATTCTCATATACCCAGTCGACACACGCACATGCATTGTACAGTCGCACAAGATCATGCATTGCCATAGAAGGTAAGATTTACCATATAATTTTATACGTAGCCTTAGTAGTAGCCTTAAGGTTTTCCAGTTTAATCTCCTTAGTTGAAACGTATCCTTTTTGTCAGAGCATTGAATAATTTACTGCAAATCACTTATTATAGGGAGGGTTTTTAAACAGGTAATATTAACCTTTTGGGGATCATTTGCAGTTAAAGGTGATGTTATTTACACGGCTCTATTGTCAGGCTTCTTATCTTCGAGTCTTCAACCTATTGGACATAAGTACTCACTTCATTTATAACCCAACGATTAAACTAGCAGTCGTGCTGCTCACATCTACAAGGGCATAATTAACAGGACTGGAAACCGGGTTTCTCATTTTGGAACCCATTTATAGTCCAGTTAATTTTGAGCTCGATTCGAACTTCACCACTCTTCAAATATTATTTGCAGTCATGAAGATAACTTATCAAAAGTCTGTAGAACTTCTATAATTATCTAAAAATCCCGTAATTCGTTCGAATCTTTCGTAGAGCCAATTGACTTGCGGAACAGCGTGATCCGTCGATATTTAAATAAACCGCATTTTTGTCCTTCGCCCCATCAGTATCACTTGTGACATCTAGAGCGTTGTTTTATGCAGAAATCGCCCATAGGCTGAAATATTGTTTGCTGGAACATAGTTGACTTCCAAAATGGCATTTAGTAACTGACTGGGAAGCATTGTCTCCATGAGTTTGCTTATGTGTGAAGTCTTGACAACGGCGCGGTACCATCTAAGCTAAACTCTATTGTGGTAGGATTTCAATAATGGTGTATTTTTTTGTCAATCCTCTATTTATTCGGAAATTCATCATGCTTAAGTAAATAATTTATTTGGTTCTGCCTTGTCTCAAGTGGCACTTGCTTGATTGACAGTCCTTCCTATTCGGCTTCACTAACAGGACCAGACAAGTGAGGCTTTCATTAACTGTAGGCTTACGGAGATGTAAACTTCTCTTAGTCTCTGCGAACTTCCTACTATTGACTGCCTCTACCTTTACCTGCTTCGCTCATGCTGCCTAATAGCTCACCGGGAGGCCGCCTTGCGCATCTTACGATAATATCATGCAAGACGATGCAACATAGAGTTCCCAGATTCTCTTCCTTTGTCTTTTTTTGCCCATTTTCATGTATTTGGGAGAGATTTTTCATGTTTGTAAACATATATCTATGAGGAATCCGATCGGATGCGAATTTTTTCCTGCATTCATCAGACTGGCTATGTGAAAACCGAGGCCAGGCGCTCCAAGCGGTAAACCGACCTTGACTTTTGCTTGTTGTTGTATCTATACACCCAAACTTCGGAAGGTTGTGCCGCTTGCGAAGAGCTGCCAGTTAACAGCTCGCTTTGTACTCCATCCTGTTCTAATATCTAATTTGAGCATGTCGGATTTAAGCATATATTTCATCCAATTACATAATCGAAAAATATAATAGCATCTTCAATAGTTAGTAAAAACTCTATCACGTGATGATACGATGCCTAAGTAACGGTGTCCGTATCACCCGAACTTACTAGTGGCTCGAAGAACTTCAGTTTTTCGTATCCATTTGAAAACAACAATCAGAGCGTCAGCACGCGCCACGGTAGCCTACTAACTGTTGCAATTGCAGTTTATCTTCGATTCGTCTTGTCCCGTTCTTATAGTTATGTCTCACATTTTTCTCCATAACGCTGTTTCTATAAATAGCAATTTTGCCCTAGATAGCTAAAGAATAGTGCATAGAGTAATAAACCCATAACGATATATTTACACACACAAACATGCTCATACTCACCGCATACACGCACATACAGACACACAAAACGACAGACATTTTAACACATCAGACATAAATTCATCTACTTATAGCCGCATACATTACGAGCACTGTTGGCAACGCAAAAAGCAGGACATCCAACAGCCTCTCTTTATATGGTGCGTTTTCGCAGCTAGAGTTGTTTTTGCTCTTGTCCTTATTCACTCCAGCACGATTCTTACCGCCTCTGACGTGTGACCGATACAGGGTCAACTGCAGAGGCCTGAAGCCGCTTACAACAGGAGGGTACATAAGATCTGAGAACCGTGGTAGCCGCCGTAGTTGGTGCAGCTCGACAGTACTCCGAATAATCCGGGGACAATTTGGTTCTGCTCGGGGGCCCGCAGGGAAATCAAGGTGGAAAACAACAGCGTTTAAGCAGCAAGAAATGCTGACCTTTTAAGGAAATGACCTGACGGCTAAAGGCGAGGCGGCAAAAACGATATATAGCCATTGTTACGAATGTATAGAAGAGAATAGTCACACTTGTACTTTTGCGTGTTCTGAGCGACTATTGTTTATAACCGGGCTCTGCTATTTGATATCTTCTGGGTAATGTCCAAAGCTTGTATACCGTTGTCGTGTTTTTTCCCATTAATTGGATTGGCTCGTACGTATATATATGTGTACACATATATGTACATATATATATATATATATATATAACGTATGTGAATATATAAGTTAGTAAGAAATATCTCAGCTTTTCCTGTCCCGTTAAAGTTTTCGCTTCTTTGCGCCTTTCTTCTACGTGCAATCTACGCAAAGAACGTTTGCTCCTACTAAGGGGGCCGTTTCTCGAGCTCTTAGTCAGTCTTTGGCCAGGGAACAGTCAAACGGAGAAAGACAGAAAAGCAACAACGCAGGTCTCCCCTGGGGTGGAACAGTAAGACCTACCAGATCACTAGGACTCTGCTTCAATAGACCAACAGCGAAGTAGATCGCAGCTGCCGCCATCTAAGAACAGATATTCAACGTTCAGTCGGCCTTCTCGCTCAGCGACTATTCATTGTGGCTGGCCTTAAAATGCTACATTCCCATTGCGTCAGTCCGAGACCATTGTTGGCATGATGCAGGCTGACGGCCTGCTATAAAACGAGAGGCTATCATCGTCCTGGTTACAATTACCCAAGCAAAACTATACAGCCAATGCAATCGAAAATGGTCGAATAAGACTGAGAAACAATAACGAACAAAAAAATATCATTATCGCGGTTTTCTCAACAAATATACTTCTACTGCCATAGTACTACTGCACGTAAGTTTCAAGAACGGCAAATGGATACATACGTTCATTCATACGGTAAGTAACGCAGAAGGAACTGGAGTAGTAAAACATAAAACATTGTCTGCCTGTTCTACTATTAAGTTACGATTAGCCAACGTATGAAAAAATGACGTTTGTCCTAATACATCAACACGTACTCGTGTGACCGACGTTGTCTCACTTGCTTAATTTGTGTGGTATTTGATATGGCCCATTTATGGGTTATAAAACACGGAGTAAAGGTATGAATGTCCAAGTTGTTCGAATTATCACTGGCACTGCAATTATACGACCATTATCATAGTCATCAACGGTGAGTTGGTACTGTGTAACTCGTTTGTAAGGATTGAACTATTACACAATTGCCTAACGTTACGGATTCAGACAATCTTTGAAAAACACACGTCAAGGCTGATTGTACCAATTGCGATTTCCCCTGTATCCCCCATATAAATTCTATATACATATAAACGACTTGTATCTATATGGTAACTAGAACCTGTATTCTGGCTATCGTTTTAGAGTGTGTTTGCTAAAACTATTTTCTACACATCAGAAGAAAAGTGCCTATGATCGACCCAGGCAGCGTCCCGTTAGTAAAACTATCGAAAGGTATCACTCCAAGCTGCCTTATTTATCAAACTATTTTTCTACTAATTCGATTTTTACCGAGAAATTTTTTACCGTTTCGCCCCAGGGAGGTTTTAGATATGATCCGAGCATTGAAATCTTCAAAGTCAGTATACAGTGTAATCAATTATGATGTTATCTAGCCGTCCGTAATATAGCAACTGCTGTATAATAGTCATAATTCACCAAAAATACCTTTCCAAAATGTGTGACTCTTTTTTTTCTCCAAAAAATCATTCCTCAAGAAGTTCTTTCATTCAATCATAAACCAGAAGAAACTGACCCTGTTTTCAGCTTTGAGGCGTTTAAAGTAGCTGTTAGGTCTGATTCAAAGCAACGATTATTTTTAGGTTTGGTTCCTGAATCTCATCACGCTGTTCACTCGGTCGTTAACAGTTAATTCCACTGCAAACCCTTGCTAATCATCGTGCCTTTGTGACAGCTTACGGATACAATGATACGGATGGTTATCATTCAACATGCCTCAACTTTCACGTTCTCTGTCTGTCTCTATTCTTCTCTCCAATTTAATTTGCCCCCCATTACGATTTTAAGGTTGCTCTAGGGCGAGCACGGCAGTTGGCCAAATATTCGAGTTCTATGCTTCTGCGCCAAATGCCAGCAATCCAGTTTACTGAGCTATCCATATCGTGCCTATTCCATAAATTCCGCCTGTCAGTCTGTATATGCCTGTTGCACTTAGCTTTGTGTGTGTGTGTGTGCCTGTGCCTCTCTCCTTTTGGCTTGTTTACGTAGCGCCCTCCAGGGTATAGGGAGTCGGAAGCGATAGGAAATTGCAATACAAGCAGACATACTTTGACCGAAGCAAGAGCCAAGACGATGTCCGCGGCACGAGTCATTTTGCACCCGCAGAACTGCACGACTGTTACAAGCGAAGCACCTAAAATGGAGGTGGAGCGCCGTCGTTCCCGGCAATAGAAACTGTCTACTCGAGAGTTAATGCTCTTCAGATGGTGACTAGTCACATGCTTCAGCGGTAACAGGCACAGTCGTTGCCGGCGGGGGTGATGGCTGGCCGGCGATCACTATCTAGGAACAGCGCCTGCTGCTGTTGCTTCAAATACTATCCTGTTACTCTGCCTAACGAGTCGGCTGCTGGAACTCAAACGTGGTCTACGCTTCTTTCGGGTCGACTCTAAACCCGATCGCACATTGTGGAAAGGATGCAAAACTGCTAACGGCTTACAGGAGCCGCTGTTGACGCTCCGTGCGCGATTATCCATTTGTAAACCGGTCAGTCGGCTGCGATCTAGTTCCGTATAGAAGTTTTGTTCAGATATTTCTGCTACCATCAGCAAAGTCATCGCAGTGGCCGGCATCGCCATGGTTTTGCTCTTGTCATATAGCATTTTGCTAGTTTGAGCAAAAGCGATATGAGTCTGACTGTAAAACGGGCCTGAATGAGTGGCTTCGTAGGCGGCAGCTCATAGCAGCGGAACCACACTAGAATGCCATAATAATATCATTACATAATGTGGTTGTACGGCCATTGGTGATAGAAGAAGACGTAAGTGATCCTGCCCTATTATGGCTGATGCTCACTAAGTGGTGGCAAATTGGCCCAAGTCGACGCTTTGAGAGGTCTAAGGGAGATGGTAGCGTGACAGACAGCCGGGAGGTGAAAACGTGCTCGTAAGACGTGTCTATTGACACGTGAAGATGTTGTTCTTAGTGGCTGATTTTGGAAACATATGAAAGTCAACGAGGCTAATTGGAACGGGTCGATTGGTGAGGCCGACATAAAAACCGAGCCTGAATCCTACGCAAGACGGCAGCGAAGCTGAGGTACGCATTGTGGGTACGGTTGGAGTAACTAAATATTAGGAGACGGTGAGTTGACCATTTATCTGTCAATTTAACTCTGTCGGAACTTTTATCGCTGTAATGTCTAATAATGTTGAACTGATGAGGACATGGCTTTCGGACACTGGTGTAGACTCTAAAGCTAAAGTGTTTTAAGTTTTACACCCAGAAGTGCATTGGGATGCTGACATCCATTAACATTACAAAACGAACATGTCTACGCTACTAATTCGAACCTAAGACTTACGTGTCCTTAGATTGAATAGGCGGATGCCTTGCCATCACACCAACGCAGAAAAAGGTCCTATAGACGCAAACAAACCTTGAGGCTCAAAGTAGGTTCTTATCGAATATTTGGCGAAGACTTTAAGGTTTCGCAACGGTTTCTTTAGATATTTGCCTATTTTAGGTTCGCTAAACATGTTGTATGTAACTGGATCAAAACTACCGGACAATTATGATCTGGCCTAGCGTGTGTTGATTTTTCTAAAGATATTTCAAAGGACGCACTGTATGTTATTTAAAGGTCGTATAAAGGTCGGTGTTAAGTATTAAGTAAAAGTATTTTTTATATGATATACAATTTCATATAACTAGAGATTAGTCCTAAAACGTTCATAAGTTGCTCATCTTATTAGACGTTTGATGAAACAGACTGATCTAATAAGTGTTTTCTAAACAAAAAACTTGTTTTAACGAACATTTTAAGCTTGCCACCTAAATTTTAATTTTTTTCCTGCTGGTGTGATGCTTCATACAAGACCAGTCATCGAATGCAATGTTCATTACTGGCGTACGTTAGAACAATCAATCAAAACACAAACAATAATAATACTAAAGCATCAAAATTAATTGTCGCTAAATCTAAGTCGTAGTACCTTTGATTCAGTTTTATCAGGAGGTGTGGGGCGCCACTGTTCTTAATGGATACGTTTTTATAAGCGTTGTCAATTTTAAACGGTAAACAAAAAAATCAACTTCCCTTATTGATTTAATTACATCAGTTAGTTATGGTCGTATTTGGTTAACGTAAAAACGAAACCGCTAGCAAATTCGTAGTTTAGCCTACTAAAGAGGATGGATTTTTTCAAATTTATATTTTAAACAAAGAGCACGTACAACCATAGAAGTACTAAAATCTCGTGTAAAAATTACTCCGACGGCCTTCACTTGTTCTTTGGCTAGGTGCCTAGCATTTCTGTTAAGCGTCAAAACGTGTTTCGTTGTTTTCTTTATGGGAGGGACGTGCATGCATTAGTTTCTACCTTGCCCCCCAAAAGTATTGGTTTTCATTTTCAGTTATATTGTATCTGTGGTATCCAGGTCAAGTTAGGTGGGTTTGTAGTCGTTCGGCCATTTGTTTGGTACTTTTCTTCTACTAGATTTCACAATTGTGAACCGATCCATGCAATTACTGGTATACATCCGGTCGAAATCTATGTACGCATATTAACGCTTATAAGAGAAATTTAATAAAATGTTTATATTTGACAAGCGAATATTTTTTACAGTGATGATATCCTGCCATGCGTAACTTATTATATATGCCTATATCAATCCAGTGACACATATAATAAATTGCATACAGGGAAGCCCTAGCCTGATCCTCCCGTTCACCGTAACATTTAACGTTAGCATGCCACAGTAAGAATTTTCTCCATCGTCTTTATTAACGATAACAGTCGTTCTCTCACGTCTATCTAGCTGTCGTTGCGAGGAACACGTTCTTATTGAATCTGTTGACGAAGTTTTTGTACAAGCTCGTTCGCGCCTCGAGCTGAGTGATGGCGTGAACCTCGCCTATCTTCGACGCTCTGGCGCAGCTGAACGCTCTTTCTGTCGGTACCTTCATATGCAAGAAATACACAAACACGCTGCTGCCTTTAGGTATCAGGCTCATACATGCAAAGTCGACTATGATGAGTGTGACAGCCACAGGTAAACTATCCCCGAACTCTATCGAAAGTTATGGGCCTGTGGAAAATTTGACCTTGTACCTGATTCGAGAGTTCGATATCTTTCGAACTAGCCGATTTTGGATAGTTCAAAGACAATGTATACTTTTATTCAAACATACATGGTACTGCACGTTCACTCCTTAAGGCACTTAGGTTTTGTCGTACGATATTACGCAAGAATTATGCTCACATAACGACACAGGGTCGTTAACCAATTTCTTAGTTACTATTATTAAATCTGGAGCGATAGCAACCAAGTTTCATGCGTGCACGTTCTTTAGACCTCGTCGTCGTTCCTGTGAAGCCGTCCCGACAAATTTTGCAATACCCACTAGACACGATTTAGTACGGGGCTACAATTGGGCTAGAAAACAATTGCTTGGGTCGCATAGCAGGGCCGTCCCCATGAGCACAGCGAAAGACATTTACTTCCGATGCGTGATTCAGCGAATACGATCAGCATAGCTCAAGATGATAAAGCAGTAGACTGTATGGAGGTTGTAGCCGCGAATTCGGCGCGTGTCTCTAAGCTAAGAGAGGGCTAAGAAACACAAGACGTCTCAAAACGTAAACGACGTCGGCTAGCTGCCTGGTGGGCAGCAGTATATGTTGTGTGAACGCACGTCAGAATAAGAGAATATCACTTTGGGTCTGCGTTGGTTCAAGCGTTGAAAAATTATTGCCCCAAGTTTCGTTAGCTTCAGAACCAAATCAAGTATAAGGCGACGTTTTGGTAAAGCAGAGTAAGCTCTTTAGCATGCCGTTGTTGAGGAAGAAATGCCTGAAAGGGCGTTGTGACGTCAGGCCGTGCAGGTCCTAGCACCTCGTTTATGGTGAAATGAACTGGTTACAAGAAAGGCAGATATTTAGAGTGATTAAGCACCTCAGCTGAAACGTGATCAGATAGTTAGGTTTTGTACAGTAATTGACGTCCACTATAATCTATGCTAGCTTTGTGGTAAACCATATACGCAACGACGAGAAAAATTGACGTGTAGAAGCTGCATTATATCTCAAAATGAATAGATATGTTTGAATAAACCACGACAAAAGCGAATATTTAAAAGAACGGATGGAAATAAACGTACCGCGTATTCCTGGACGTGTTGTATCATCGTGCGACAAGGCTGTAATTGACAGTCTAACATGTTAAAGCTTACTATTCGGTTCAACCTTAGTAATGGGGCCAACATTAACTCGAACTTAAAGTTCGAAACGGCGAATTGCTACTGTAAAGTTATCGATCAAAAAACGAAAAAAAAAAACTAAATTCGAGGATTTTTCGCGCCATTCAGTTATTCTACATAGATGTTGATCCTTAAGGTTCCTTAACGATTTGGATATATAAAACATCTTAAAGAAACGAAAGGCTTGCCCAGTCTTTTTTTTTTCAATGGTCCTGTTGTCATGCTCAGTCGATCCGCATCGATGTCTGTATCTCAAGGGGAGAATTATGTACTAGAGATGCGGAGGCAGATTGTATACATAAATGAGCAAATGAGCTTGAGGTTTAGCTTTGCAAAGTCATTTTGCTTCACTAGATCATTATTATTCAAAGACAAAGGAAAAAACAATATTGCCAAGGCCTCTTTTGCCGCTCGAAGTTACAAGATTATGAGTAAACGCTTTTTTAGCTGGAAACCGTACGTTGATTATAGTCATGAATAATAGAAAAAATCGGAAGACGACATTGTACAGCAGACACTTCTACCAGAATATACACAACGTATGGGCAACGTTAGGGATGGTGCAAGATGACCTATCTTCAACGATTTTCAGCGTGGCGACGTAAGCTAGAAGTTGTGTTTGTGGGCGGAACCATGACTAACCATTATTATTATATATAACCATTATAATGCTGCTAATTAACACGAATCGGTAATGTACGCGCCGAAACGATTCGCAGCATCGCGTGCTCGCGAAGCGGTAATCTGCCACGATACGAGATGACCTATGCAACATCATATTGTTATCATATCATATCATAGTGGTCAAATCGTTGTTGATACGTAATGGCTTCTGCAAACGGCTCAGCGCCCCCTGCACGGTTGGCAACTACCACCATAGGAGTGCAGGCATTACTAGCGGCTTCGTCGGTGGCCATCTGTCTACGCCGAGCAAAAGGAAGCGGGCTTCCGGAAGATGGAAAACGTGTGAGAACAGGTGCGATTTGACGGAGTTAATTCTAACACGAAAAGTATTGCTTGAAGAAAATTCGGTGCTTAGAAACACAGTCCTGGCAGGTATCGTAAGCTGTTTGTGGTTATTTAATACACTCTAATTTATTATTTTTGCTTTCGTCTTCGTCTGGTAAAGCGAAGGAATAGATATCAAAATGCACTGAGAAATCGGATCTTGCTAAATCATGAGAACGTTTGGGTGACCCCGGCCAGCAGTTGGTAGGGTAATAATTTTTGTACAGAACTTTTCAAATTAGCTATGGTCATTTAATATTGTTTCAGTGATTTTCACATAATCTAACCCGACCATTTTCAATGTTCACTCACCAATGCATGATGGTAAAATGTGGTTATTTTTTAGAGCGCAATCAACGGTATGGTCACCAAGAACATGGAGATTGCAGGCGATACGTTAACGTTAATACGATTAATTGTATTGTCATATTGGTTTTCTTAGAGTCGTTCTGTTTCACCCAAAAGAGGTTCGTCATTGTGTACCTAGTAGGTGCACTGAGTGGTAGGCCGAAAAGGACCACAACGTTACTCTGTTTGAATTACGTTGTGATGCCCAACTAATGATGTACGGCTGACATCTTTCGTTAAGTTAATTAAAGTATCATTTATCTGTTCATAAATATAGAACTATTCACACAATTTGTTACTAATTAGCCTCACCTGGACAGAGTTATAAGCATCTGAAGAGACTACATCTGTAAACTACTACTTCCATGTATGAATATTTTTCCAGTCTTCCTCTCAGAATGTAGCGGCTCACGTATAAGGGCCTATTCGCGCTTAGGAACACTATGAAGCCACGATACGCGATGACAAAAAATTACTAATAATAACAAATTCCGACAAGAAGTTCTTCTCTCATTTTCTTAGTGATATATGTTATTTTTACGCCAAACAAGGAAAATTGGATGACAATATGACCGGCAGTTAATTCGGCTTACGGTTTCCTCTTAATTGATAGATCTGTAGTTGTAGGTGTACAGTCTACAAATATCAGCTAACATGTGTCATAGAAACGGAGTATCTCATTTGATTGGAGCTGTCTCAGATCGGCCTGGACCGCTGTTCTTTTACAGCTGAATAGATCTTTGATAAACAGAGGACCGTGTGTCTTATGAGCGGATCCTCCAAACGGCGTAACAGTAACGCGCGCTGATGTATGCATGTTGATCTATACCCCATATATAAACGCGTGCATCACGCCACACTCAAGCGATTATCTGCTTAGATATATAATTTTACTTACGAAATATGTATGAAAAGCAGGCCAGGGGAAATAAATCTTTGCTGTACGCGGACCCCCATAGCTGGGGTGGCAGCCTGACTAACAGATAACAGCCGTTAAACGATTGAGATATACAAAAAGTACCGCAGTTATATGTAGTATATACAAAATAAACAGCAACAACCGGTTGAGAAAGGCCGATGAGAGACCATTCTCCGTTCCTAGGATAGTGGCACTTACAGCTGGGGCAATCTCTTTATGACAATAGCCGTGTCATCAATGGACAATATCGTCAATACACAGGAGGACAAGCGGCACGGGACGAACCAATAAAGGAATCACGATCATCAGCACCAACAATCGTAAGAACAATAGTGTCGCGCTTCAGTTTGTTGTCGTTGGAAGAAAGGCAAAAAAGAAAGGGGTAATAAGGAGAAAGGGAGGGCCAGTTTCTTACTAGGTGCCATTTTCATTGCTAACAACAACAACAACAACAACACCAATAAAAATATCACGACCACTTTCATCATTGAGGCAACGCCACCAAAGCCGTTGGGAGCGGCAAGCATTGTACTATATGACGTGTGCACTATATGCATGTACAATACGTAGTCAGTCGTCCACTAACCCTGACCTTGATCTACGCGGGCAGGCAACGATCAGCTGCCAGCAGTAGGTCCACAGACAGAGAAGTCAGCAGCGTGACAATACGGGCCCGACATGACAACAAAATGATAACGCAGGAGCAGCAGTAACAACAGTCGCAATGGTGGCACCAGAAGCAAAAGGAAACTGTACTACATGGCAACAGGCCGACGATGAAACCGGTTACCGACGATTAAGCTGTGGAGGTACTTGTGGCCGATTACGGTCGACCAGGCCGGCAGCCACATAAAACGCTATAGGAGACGTGTTGTTACGCAGACTGGCGTGTCGTGTGGCCCAGCTATGAGGCGGCTATCTGCCAGTCTCGGACGAGCTGGTTGCTCGTATTGCTTCTAGCCGTTTCTGTGCCTGACACAACTGCTGCTACCTCTGTTATGACTACTCGTTCGGGTGCCGCGTACTAAAATTTACACCTCACCTTAGCTGCTCTGTAGAAGTATTACCGTTGGCAGTACTACACGTGATTGCAACGTCGTAGACGGCGTTGTTAGCGGACCAAAGCCCGACAGAGACATTTGCCAGTGGTGTTTCGGGGCAACTGTCATTACAGACTACTACAGCAGGAGGAAAAACTTTTGTAGACAGACCAGCAGACAACGTGGCGATGGTCATTGCGATGCTGTTTGTAACGATAGCGGGAGATACCTATTTCAGAAAATGAATGTATTTTCATAGAAATTCGGACACGGCGCCAATGGCGATAGGGGTAACAGCCGCGATCGGATACGAATAAAACACACTCTGACTGTACTAGTATTGCAGGTGGAGAAAAATGGCTGTATAGGACATGCGCAGTTCTATTCTGTATTATTATCTATACACATATATATCGTTATCGTTCTTAAAGCGTGCGAAGAATCTTGTTGTATTTCCTTCGAAACACATTGGCGCTTACAAATGCCCATTGAACAAACGCTCAATGGGTTACAACATTTTGGACCAAGCTAATGGCATAATTACGTATGATATGCAATCGGGTAATATTTTGCAGTCACGATAGTACCTACAGATAAATCTAGGAGAGCCGTTAAATCTACTTATGCTTACATTCTAAACATTTCTGAGACGGTCGATTCCTGGTCCGTCCCCCGCCAGATTCGTCACAGCGACTTGTACTTATGACCAATGCTAAATTTAATATAGCATATAAATGACGATGATTAAAGAAGGACGCTATTCTTAAATTAGCGATAAGGGCTGGTAGAAGCAGCAGGAGCCCCCAACCATTATCATGTCATTAGTATGCCAATAACAAGTTGTTCTTGTGAGGTGGCTTGCTTTCGACACTGTTGATTTACGTACTAAAGGAAACAAACAGCCGGAAAGCTGAAGACAAACGGCCGGCGTACGTCATGTCAGATCTTTCTGTGAAAGTGACAAAGGTGAAAGATACAAACTTACGTCTTCTCTGTTCGCGTCAAAGACTGTTCCAATCAGTAAATGATCATTCGCATGCGTTGAAGTAATCCATATATGGGGCGGAGGGGCCGGTCCCGACCGTAACTGGGTTGCGCTGGGTCACAAGCAAATAAAGTATAATATACAGGACGTCTTTACTTACTGATACGGATATTGTTTGTATGTGATTTTATAGCGTAAAAATGCTCGATTCGAAGTTAAATTATTGCATTTGCGGTAGATGAGTGTGTACACTGCAGTTTCACAGCCGTATCGAGACTTCACTGGAACCAATATCCGCATTATAATATTATAGAAAATGATAAGCTATCAGTTATCAGCAACATTGATATCAATCTGATCAATGGCATTGTCTCTCTCTCTCTCTCTCTCTCTCTCTCTCTCCACTAATAACTTGAGAACTGATCCGAAAATGACACGTAGAATAGAATCAAATCATTACGCTTCGAAAAAAGCGTCGATATCTTAAGTTTGAAATGTGTCTAGAGAATGTAAAGTGGTTCAGTGGGGCACGCGAAGACTTTGACTTGCAGATAAAAAAAAAAAAAGCATCATTCATGCAGAACTTGAGTTGACTGATTAAGAGATACAATGCGTGTTCCACTACTGCTACGAATGTTATAAACGTATTCGACGAAAGTGGTGATTCACTGTAAGATTTTTTAATTGTTTTGAATCGGTCGGTTTTGAATCGGTCGACCACTGCATTTATAAATTTGCTATTCATTTTTATTAAAATCTTTTGCTCTTACATAGAAGCAATTAGTTTATTTGATAGTGGCACGCAATGTAGCGTCAAGAAGACCACAAAAGTTTCTTCCCATCAATAGGTCGTTTTAAAAACATCATTGCGATTTCCTGTAGGTTGACAAGTTCACTTCGATTTAAAATGGCATGGCTTCTTCCGTCAGCGCGCCGACGTACAAATCCACAGGCCCGTCTTGTTGCGGTCATAAACAATTATAAAATCCCTACATTATGCCTTCTGTGACAATTATCGAACATTACGAATCAATTGATTAATATTCGCTTATCACCCTCACAATGGCAGGATAGCCGAGTAAGTGCCATGTTTTTAAGTAACAGTAATCAACTAACACTATCTATTTCCTATATATGGGAAGTTGTACTAGGGAAGGTTACGGGAACTCCACGAAAACTTCATCTTATGACGTCAGCACTTATTCATCTATCAAAACGATTTAAAGCTTATCCGTGCCGCATATCAATTATTCAACACCTTGCCTAAATCAAAGGTTCATCTAGGTTACGGTTCTGCAAAACAGCCTGTAACCTGTAAAATTTTAAGGATTTAGACAGATTGTTTTCAGGCAAGAAAAAAACAATTTTGTCAATTTAACTATTGGTAATAAATGCATGCATACATACATACATAGTTGTGACAGGTTAATTTTTCCCAGAGATATTCGCTCTGTGCTAGTCTTTCTATATAAACCTTTTCATTTCGCACGTATTTCCTTACCTACGGACCTTAGGAACTCTGTTTATATATTTTCCGCTTATATAGATTTCCGAATCATATTCACACATGTAAGACTGTTAGAAACTATACATGGACTGGCTCCAGAAAAGTCGTCATATCGTTTGGGCACACTTGAAAACATCGGTTTCACCTCGAACTTTGTGAAACCTCTACGAGCATCAGCTGTTTACTCGGGAGGCGTGGGACGGTCCCTAATCGTAACCGTGCTCTCCCCGGCTCTTAGCTCAACCCTGATAGATTGCTTTACACAGACATCCGAACGTCGTCTTTACAAACAATAGTTCAGCCGGTAGCTTCAATCCGCAAGACACCTTACCCTCTAGTAGCTAACGGAAACACCATATACTTTCTGCCAATTTCTCAATAAGCATCGTGTCCTAAAAAGCCTACGATGATGACCCCTAACTCTTTCATTGTTAGCTCTATGTAAATTGCATTACAAATAGTACAATCAAGATTCTTCAGAACACGTGTTTTTGCGTGAAAGAGGCATCTGTTCAATTTGCACCTTTACCTTCATTGAAACACTAGGTTATTACAAGAGCTTTACCTAGTAGACAACAGCTTCTAAGTCAATTAATTCAACGGCAGCTAAGATGACAGGTTTCATCGCGGAACTAAAGCCAGCGGCCTCACTCGTTGAAGCGGGAAAATTTTCACATGCGTAAAGTGTAAACAAAGTATGTACGAATAACTGATTTTAAATGATTACATTCCTTAGAAATAACTACATGTGGTTAAGTACCACATCTATCTAAAAAGCAGATGGAGAACGCCATTGGCCTTCAGTAACCCAGAGACCTGAACAGCTCACTATAAAGCTCCAAATTTCTGATATTGTTAACTATCAAAGCTACATATTATAGCTGGTTCTAAACGGCGTTCGGAGAATCTCTGAAGATGAAGGGCGGCGTGGTCTACGCACATATCTTTCGAGTGCTTTGCCATAATGACCATGTACATGCTACCATTGCTGGTTTGAATTTTACAGTTGCAAATTATGGCCATGGCTCATTGTTGTCATGTCGGTGCTCAGGTATGTTTGAAAAAACCCAGGCAGGCCCATTAAAATGCATCTACAGACGGGAAAGTCAACAAACGATGGAAAGAAATATGGCATATGGGCGCTTATATCGGGGCTGACACACAGCACGTGACCTTGCCCTTCGCGGTTTGGCGGGGATTAAAGTAGGCCCAGCAGATAGATCCCTGTAGTAACACCTCACGATTCAGATCTGGCCCGATTCATTAACAGGCAGTAGAGACTGACAGTCAGCCGCGCGTTAGCCAAAAAATTCTCTAAGGACAAGCAGTTCGTCTTGGTTGTCTATGGACGCGCTATTGTCAAGATGACGCAGCCGAACAATGATAACATAATTGAAAGCCTTCAGCTGTTCAAGCAATGAAAATCATTAAACAATTCAAATAGTTGCTTGGTTATTCTCTTCCTTGTAAAGAAATCCATGCTGGAACTGAAACTATGTGTTTTTCGTATACCGAAAATCTGATGATTAAATGAACCTTTTAGATAGCTTAAATTCGATACATTGCTGCCGTAGTGATGAGTATGAATGTCCTTTCATTAAAGAAAACTTTCAGTTTCTCACGAGCACACTTTTATCATTAAGCAACATCGTTTCCACCACGAAAATTAGTCAGTTTTACACGCACACTTTGAAGTAAGCTGATGTATGTGATAATACGAACGAAGTAATGAACAGGGTATGCGTATGTAACATTTTTTACACGTTGATGATGTCACAATCATTAACCCCCTACACGTATAGGGTCATTCCGTTTTCTTATTTAATATTTAATAATAACTATAACAACCTGTTAAACTTTCCTATTTACCATAGGAGGATACCTTTTAATTCGAAACTAGACGAATTGACGCAAACGCTCATTCTAGGTAGTATATGGGACTAAGCGGTTGATATTGTGGTGCCATACGTTAAGGGAATTCTTGCTTACTCTGTCAGAAGTCTAACAAATAAATAACCAGACAACAGAGCCAATCCTTTCTAGCGTGGCTGAAGTATACCTCGGTGACAGCAATAGCAACAACACTACTTAACCCCATTTGAATTCGATCTTTGACAGCCGGCCTCTCCCACTTGCCCCACACTTGGATAAACCGAAACGAAACGGTCAAATTTATCCGTACTCCGTCGATTTATCTAATAGCAGCTGGCCGCAATTAATTCCCTTATCGATCCCTGACTAACCATGTCTCAATGGAAGGAATACCAAGCCAAAAACAAGCAATACTCTATATAGAGTATTGCTTTATCGGGCCATGCAACCAATGAGACTGTATCAGTGCGTGTATGTTATTCTAAAGAACGAACACAGTTAGAATTCTTACCAAACAGCCGTTGAATGAATAGCTTACCCCAAACAGCGCATGAGCTAGTGACAATAGAGAATGAAACAAACTATTCTCTAGCCAGCCGTAAAGCGGTTCTGTCTCATACACATAGCGGTAAGGTTGTTCTGCTCTGCGCGGAGATCCATACTCGAAGCTTTCGCGCGGATGGGGGATCGCATAAGCAATTCAAATGGCTAGAAAGTGATCAGTTGGTGATCTTCGCTGTAGTTGTCATGCTAATATTCTGATGTCTGACCCAAAGGGGACTCCTAACAAGATTAGTAATAGATGGATCTCTGGGAAGGTTTTGTCGTGGTAGTTGGCTCCATAATCGAAAGCAATAGTCAGCCTTTGAAGTAGCTGCTAGATGGGCTATTCTTCATTATGTAATGCACCTTACCCTTCGTTGTTCATTTTTTACAGCAACTTTTTGACCTACCAGCTACTAACACAGTGAGAACTCATAAACCCACAAGCTAACATAGAACGTAGACGATGATCGAACCAGCCATATTCAAACAGACCATTTACGAGCACGTTATGACCACAGTAACTCTTGGCCTCGTCCAATTAGCTGCTGATTACTCGACTGATTATTTTGTGCCACTCCGAGGTCCCCTTTGAAACTGAGATTCTTCGCGTTTACCAGGCGCAATGCTTAGTGATAGCAATGGTCGGATTAACTTGGTGCCAACATCTGTCGATTCTGTGTAGCGTTATGTATGAACTTCATCCCGTCACGATGGTCAAAATAAAAATGATATTATTATCGTATAAACTTGTCGCCACATTATTTCCTTCGAAGACCACGTGTGTCAATCCTTTAAGCTTATCCCAGCCATTTATGCAACACAGTGGAGCCGCCTATCGTAACTGCCTGCCAGCTAATGGACGGCTTAAAAAAAGCGCAATTAAAAACACAACTATAAGATACTGACCCGAATGCTCCAATAGGGTTACGTCCACATCGCTGTAGCCGTACGTAACGCTCATTTCGAACTGCATCAGCCATTTTATAATGGCGGGAAAAGCATTGTTCGACCGTTCGACATAAACCGACAAAGCAACGGAACAGCTGAAGCTGGCAACCGATGTTCCTCGAAAGTTGACTCACTTGGCAGATTGATCGCACTATCTTAAACATATTTGCGTATGTGAGTGTGTGTAGTGGAATACATTGTACACGGAGATTTACAGGGGTGCGTGAATCCCTGCGTAGGTCTTCATAGCCAAGTGAAGGGCATACGCCAGCTAACCGTGATAACGATGCCACTTAATATACCATAAAGCGACAACTTAAATCCGTCTATATAGATAAAGGCTCCACTTGATCTATTGTACACTTATTTCCTCTTTAAGTCATCTTCATCTTCCCCTGTTTCTATTTGTTTTTCAGGTGAAATGACGTCATTTTACGGCTTGACTAATCCTGAGTTGCGGCACTTTAACATATAACAGTCACACTGTGACGGATGTAGACTAGCTCAAGCCCGTTTTGCACCCAGAGCTTCATTTGCATGTGACATTCTTCCAGGAAATGCTTTTGTGCCCGCCCAAAGCTTCGCGCTTAATGATGCCTCATAATCACAAAAAAGTTCATCAGGTTATCCGTCATTTTCAAGGCGATAGACGGTGGCTACACAGTTAGTGGCCTAAAAGTGAATGTGGAATTTGTCCTATTTTTAACTACCAGAGTCAATATTATTGTGTAGGTTACTAGAAGTCAAGGTTTCGGAGTGTCGGTGATGAGTTGGAGACGATGGTCCGCAGACACGGCTAGTTACTGTCCATCAGCCGAAGATGCTATTCTTAAAAACTTCGCGGGTTTTGATCGAGCGGCGTTGGAGGAACTCCAGGAACGCATTGCGACGGTTAAATTGTTGGCTTATGGCGTCACAGCAGTCGGGATCATTGTACTAGGCCTTGTAGGCAACATTATAAACCTCATCATCTTGACCCGGCCAAATCTCAAAGGAGTCACCTATGTCTATCTTACCTGGCTGGCGACGTTCGATTTTCTGTCTCTAACTTTTGCTATCTTCTCCGTACTCCGACTGCACGGTATCCAGCCGAAGTCCTATGTTGCAGCATTTTTCTACGCCCATCTAGAAATGCCGCTGGTAAACTCGGCGATGACTTCGTCGATCTTTATTGTACTGGCAGTCACGCTTGACCGATACTGGAGCGTGTGCTTACCTTCTCGATATAAAGATATTCACACCGAACGATGGGCACATTTAGCTATATGTATATCGTTTATAGTACCCATTTTGCTGTATATACCGGTCGGGTTTCAGAAAGAACCGACCTTAGTGATAAACCCGCACACAGGTCAGGAGGAATGGGTCCCCTGCGACCGTCTGTCGGTATCGCAACATCCCGCTTATCGGCTGTACCTTTTCGTCAAAGAAGTAATTGTTCGCGTTGGCCCTGTCATAGTGATTGCTATGCTCAATACCACCATAATTCTGACGTTCCGACGCTTAGCGAAAAAACGAAAAAGCCTGGTCAAATCAACGGAAGGTCGACGTTTCGCCGAAGAACGCCGTCTCGTTATTCTACTAGCCTCGATTGTGATCATGTTCTGTGTCTGCATGACGCCAGCTGCTATTAACACCGTCCTTAACGGTGATCGTATGGAGAACAATTACACTTACCAGGTAGGTTAGTAAGAAAAAAATATTTTATAAAAAAGGATTCATATTTTGACTGGCTGTTTTTAGATACGTGCAAGCCGAAAATGCTAAGATTATAGAGAAAATGAAACGAAAACGCAAGTGGGTGCCTTAGCAATGCCCATGCAGAAATACGTAATCACGCTTCGTAAGATATGCCCGATTCTGAAAGATGATGCTATTTAATTAGACTTATTAATAAAGAAAATCCTTTTAGTTTTTACTTTATTCATTCATGCATTTTTCTATTTATAGTGATAATCGTTTTTTTTTTTATTAAAAAATTATTAAGAACTGTCGTAAAATTATCAATTTGACAACAGTTATTGAAAATATTTCATTGTTGAAATGTACGGTAAGTATTCTGTCAAGTTCCTGTAGGCGATTACTAGTAGAAACAGAAATATATTAAATTGAAAAATGTCATATTCGCTTCTAACCGCATCGAAAATGGTGACAATGTTTTAATCATATGGCGAATGTCATATTTGCCAAAATAATCAGTGCAGTATCTAGATATACAAAAATTTGTTAATGACTCTAAATTAATAACAAAACACATATACAAGTCTATTATTGCTCACTTCACGTAGATGTCCAGTATATTACACATACGCACGAAAGCATTATTTATAACCATATTATTACGATAGTTCAAGATAAATGGAGCATTTCCGCGTCCATTAGTCAAAGTTGTTCAGTATAAACTCGACCAACTCGTCTGACGAAGGTCAATGCAATACACATTATAATAAAAAGTAAAGTGGGACAACATTTTAAAGTAAATAAATGATTAGACCAGCGGCTCGTTGTTCATATGCCTAATGTATCACGTTGGTAAGCTCCCTTCCTGTCCTGAACGGAATAGGTCCTGTATACTGTCAAAGCCGAAAACAGATATTCCTCATTAATTCCTTGGACATAATAGTTAACACACCTTCCTACCAAAATTAAAACTGTCTCACACATAATTTCCTATTTTTTTTTCTTATTCTCTACAAATAAATTTCGAGCATTCCATCATACTTTAATGGGCTTGCACATTTAAGACTCGTCACTTGAGAATCTGGCAGTTTGTACATTTCATCGAATCTGTATGATCGCCATAGTTTTGCTAGTTTTAGTATTGTGTATGAAGCCAATTCTTATAATATATAATAAGCCCTTCTACGAATTGAAATATATGAGGGAAATCACGTCTTAAATAATTATACAGGTTGTTGCTGCTGTAGGAAAATTTGCGCCTACTGGTCATCATTTTTTTTTCGTCTATGTAAAGCTTTTCATATAGAGATGTGTAAGACTAGAGGTTATGAAAACTCTGGATCTGTGCACCATTAGCAACCATTGGTTATTCTGAAGGCCATGACGATGGCTAGAAAAATCTGAAACATAAGTTAATTGTTCTGACAAAGTGAATTAACCTAGCCTGTGCGTCCTTTTTTCCTTATCCTTCCTTCAACAAATATTAGATTTGTCTGTTCAAACGTACAATCCTAACAAGCAACAACTCTTAGCTCAACTCCATTTCTCTAATATTGGTTATTGGTCGATTATTTCGCTTAGGTCTACTAGCTATGGCTTTCATATATTTCAAAGTGGATAACTTTACATATGAGTACAAATTACAAGTACTACACATGGCTATCTGCTGGAGTTGCTCATTTTAAAAGTAACGGTATACATATAAGTTTAACTAGACGTTCAAAATACACTATTATTCTTAGTTGTGTAAGCAAACAAGCTTAATTACAGTTTGCCAAATTGATTTTATAGAAATATAATTCGTTTTATGGCGCCGACCGAATGGTTCGATATTTGGTTGCCGGGGCCTTGTAAAAGCTCGTCTTAGATATATCTAGAAACGTAATGCAGTTGGTCTTAATTGGCTAGCTTCGCTATTTACCTATCGCCCGTAATATAACAACAACTCTATTATACATAAAAAAAATGTCAATTGTTTTAGTTACAGTTTTACAGTAAGATGGTGATTTCGCAGCAGCGAGCAAGATACGACTGCTTCTATTAGTAGACTTAGGTCAGGCGATAATCTTGACATTGGCTTTTATATTGCCTTTAGCGATATCCCAAGCTAGGGAACTTGGGCTACTTATAATTCTGATCATTTAAGAGCATCACTTCAACTCATAACTAGAAATGACGCACGTTGTGTACGATGGACCGTGCACAACAAGACAATTACCTTGTGGAATCCTTAATATATACACGTAGCAAGCAGAAGTTAATAGAAGAGGTGGAAGAAAGAAGGATAGACTTCACTCGCTTCCGGGCTATGTATTTATTTTCGGATCTGGAAGTGCTCAGCGAGGTTAATAGCATCTAGCTCGATGAGTTCAACTGTGTTCTGCACCGACAATTAATCCAGTCGCCTCGGACACGCTTGTAACCAACTTGCTGTTCTCGATTTCGTCTCAACAGGTGTTTCGTGCCTTCGCTAACGATATGGAAATTAGCAACTTCGCGACCAACTTCTATGTCTACTGTTTATGCTCAACAGAGATCCGCGACACATTTTGCCGTGTATTTCTGAGACCCTTTTTGTGGCTCATCCCACGAACCGCATTCGGGGTCTCAACGTCTGAGCGAACTTCGCCTTCGAGAGACAACGCTTCAATAGTCATGACGCCAAGCGGCAGCCGAACCCCACATGATGGGCTGCCACTCGACGTGTGACTGCAACATACACATTGTCACATCGTTGGCCTTAAGAGCTCCAGCGCCATTTTGAAGCTCATGAACTTGCACGTGATTCAAAGATTTATCACGCAGTCCTTCATATTTGGACACACTTTGAAGATTTTGATTTTATTGCATGAAGGCATTCGCGATGAATGTTGAATGTATCGGCTATATATGAGACGAGATGTATTTGTCCCATCAACCTGTGTATGCATTGTATAGGAATGTCCCCGAGATGTTGCAGTGGTATCATGCTTGTGCGCTGCAATTAGGGAACCTAGATTTGAAATCGGGCATAGACACATTCTGTTTTGTGTTAAAATCCTGCCGTACGAAGCTGTGCTTAAGCGGTGTACATGGACGTAAAACTCGAAACATCCATAATTATTTATTCTATAGGAAGCATACAGTTATACTTACATTAACGTAACATGCGATAGGAACACTACGCTCAGCAACGGTTTATCAATTAAGATTCAAAAACCTTGAACTTACATCGGAACTTGAAATACAGTAACAAACGGCACGTGCAGAAACAGCCCTCTTTCTATCTTCAATGCAGTGTCGTATCGAATTCTCGATTTGGTGTCTTTCGCATCGGATATATATTTAGTCAGGACTACATCTACCCTGTATTTTGCTATAAAGAAAATGAAGTACTCATATTACTGTATAATGTACTATATATATTTTAGCAAGAAAATTAAGTGCTGGGTTATTTTCGTTTGTGCATCTACATATGTCCTAGAGTTTGATTGTTGATTTTGTATAACCTACTATCCGGTGGCTCAGTGGTATGTGATCTTTTAAACAAGTGAATACAAGAAACGGTATGTAACATACGGCATTCATACAAGCCATACACACCATTCGATTTAATTTTTGTACCAACTAAATTCGATGTTGGCTCAATTAAATGTACTGTAGTTAACAGCGAACCGTCCATAGAAAAATTTAATTCACCCTTGGCCACTAAAAACAGTTATTTAACATTGTATATTAGTTTCGATTCGCCCATTTCTGGAATTTCAACGATCACATCAAATATTACGCTTCGCTTTGAAATATTTTAGCTTTCAAATACGTATGGTGTGCCGGATAGCTACTTGTTTTGCGGCGTTCAGGAACAATAACGCGGAAGACCTAGATAAAGCAACGTGTAGTAAATTGCCAGTGTAAACATCAAGCCAAGCATTGTTCGTTGAAACAGACACAAACGTGATTTAAACAAAAGGTGTAGCTTTTTCCAAGGACACGGTCTGGTAAACGATTGAACCTTGATAAGATCGAACGCAAAGGGCAAGTCACCAAATAACATTCACCACTTTTATCGGCCGCTCACCTTTGAAACATATAATGGAACAGGTACGTGCAATTTCTACTTTATTTGTAGGTTTTAGTGAAAAAAAGTATTTGTAAATACGAGAAATTGCCTGTACTTTGCCAGGCCCTACAAGTGCATCATAGTTCAAGATAGGCAAAATAAGCATCCGTCAGAGGCTTTGCAAGCTAACGTGGTAATGATAGAGTGAATAATGGAAATTATCGAGCGAGGAAATTTTTCTTAATCGACCAAGTTGCCAAATACGTTTTTCTGTAAGGTTTTTAAACTTTAATTTAAATCTGTATAACGTTTCGTCTGAGAGACTTTGTAATGATGCTCCCTTTGTTTTCAAGATGTGCAACGCGTTTTTATTTGTTTCTGATGGGTTACCTGATCTTATTTTGCTAAACAAAGCATGAGCAGAAATTATTCTACAAATAGATGATTTCATAAATGGAAAATCGCACAGAGCGTTAGATAATAAAACTGGTCAATCCGTGACTCCCCGGAAAAGCGAAAGAAAGGGAAACAAAAGAAAGTTTCTGTAAACTATGTAAACCCATGTAAATATATATGTATATATGCATATGTGCTATAAGCAACAGTATATCAATAAAAGGCAAAACTCTTTACGCTAACGAACGTTTTGAGTTGTCACTTTCAGTATGAAAGCTAGTTCTTCCATCGTGATCTAGCGATAGAGGCGCGAAAGCTGTAGATCGCAAAAAGCTTTTACTTTTTGTTGTTGTAACGGCTGAAGGCCCTTGGCGTCGATGCTCCGTAAAACTTAGGTTCACAAATGTTTAATACACGAAATTTATAGTAATTTAAAAAATACCAAGGAAATAACTATATATGTCTTTTACGCTTCCCGCAACCTTCATATAGACTTATCTTCCATAGCAAAAATATTTCTACATGTCCTGCTAACTAGTACCTTCAATCTCAAATGCTGTATTTATTCTTGGGTTAGCGTTCACTAGCATAATATTACACGACCCTGTAATGCTGATTAACGAAAAACCTATAAGCGAAAATTGGTAGCCAATAAACGTACGTAACTAAAGCGCATCCGAGTGCCCATCCCCTGTGTATTTTGTAACCACTTTATTTATAGCATCAGGCAAATGTTTCATACTGACGTTTAAATATTGAATGTAAGCATGGATGCCTTGAAACCTACCTTTTCGCATAGAGGGTGCAACGAGTTGAAGTGCCTCGGATAAATGAATACGCTTTATATAAGCTCCGAATAAGCTTGTATCGTCTTACAATCTACTAGTTTTGCATGATATAATCCGTTATATGCCTGCTATTTAAGTCTAAAGGACATGTTCTTATCTAACATTATGTTACATAATAATACAATATACACGAAAAACACGATAGATGCGAATCGTGTCTATCATAAATTCGAAGTTAATAGGTAAAGAAAAAGAACGCCAGATCCCGGCAATCGTTATAGCACTTGTTCTATTAATACTCGATTACCGTATTCCATCTTTGGCCATAATGGCAACAACTGAAAATTTTAAAATGCAGCAGCAATGGTGCCATTTTCATTTACAATAGTGCTTATGTACAATATCAAACACTTTGTTCTCTCGTGGTTCATTATTATCATCGCCATCTTTGCTACCAGCACCAGAAGACTAGAAGGCTTTGCTGTGCCATTTAACAAACGATCATTTGAGACACGACAACTTACGCCACATGGCGGCATAGCCAGACCCACTGGGTAATATAAATAGGTCGGTTGTCGTATGAATGAATTCGAACGTATGTAAAACAAGGACAACTCACCAAAATGCGACATGTTAAAGTACAACCAGTTCAGATAACCTCAAATAAAGGAACAAAACTAGCCATATCAAATAACGCAAGATACCTTTTATGAGCTTTAATGACTAATTCTTAATTATAAACCATAAAATAAATTGTGTCAGCAAATTTCTACGTAATATCTATCGTTCCTTTATGTGAGCCTACTTAGTTGCATTTTTTTATGTACATTAGCGATAAAGCGAATAAGAGATCATGCCTCGCTTTACTTTCATTTTACATTCAATCAATATTTTCGTGATTTACTTGCACACGCATTCAATTCAGACAAAGCAATGACTTGAAACACATTATAGATGTGCATGAGTTCTTGAAGGACGCTTCGGGTCATTGGTATTTTAGTCGTAGTGCTTGAAGATCTAACGCACGTACTTTAATTAAAATCACCAATTCCTCCCACTGCCTAAACATGTAGAATGCGGTAATGGCTGTGGTATGTAGTACAAAATGGTAATGTCTAAAATGGCTGATGTCCCTACACTCAGTCCTCCTCTAAGTCTCCAAACGAAAAAATGAGTCAATTTACCGGAAACATTTCAAGAACCAGCCTGGCGTCATTACATGTCACATCCGAAATCACATTCCAGTTTCGGTAATTGTGAAGAGCTTGGTCTAAAATTAACACCTTATCAGACACCCCATGATATTATGAGGCAGTGCAAGCAATTGCAAGCGAAACCTCCAATACGTTTACATTTGCCGAAACTCTGACGTATGCCCATAATACCAATATACGCAGTTTTATTAATTCGCGTCTATTTCTTTTCCAAAAATGTATATATTTTTTTGTTCTACCACATAAAACTAAGCTCTTCACGTCATGCGTTTCATATGCTTATATTGTGCACTACTGTATTTTATTGAACACCGGCTGGTAACAATTCGAAGTCACCATTTAGAAGCTGCGCCAGATTTGTTAAAGGAGGCAGCCCTCAGTATAATTTACTAAGGTAACGCAATGAATCGGTATATTAAGTAACCGAAAATCTTGTTATCATTAATGATATATTGGAAGTACATACAGCACATGATTACATATAAAACATAATTTGTAATATTTACATGTATTTACACATCCTTACGCTTTACTATTTGATAACCAAACTAATGAGGAGAGTTTATCGGGCCATATCGAAAACAACCACTTGGCCGTTCGATCCAGGGGAAATTGCCTTGTGACTGTTTACGATAGTAACAATACCTATTTCACGGACATTTCATATTTCTTCGCTGAAGATCTAGAAACAGTGGAACAAGACAAGACTGCGACATTTCGGCGCACTTCTCAGCGTTGTATCACAACGGATGGATGAGGTATGTAAAATGACATGAACGAAATGACTATGCCTAAGAAGTAACAGTAAATGTGGTTGCTGTTCCCTCCACTGTTGCGGCTACTCGTAGCTTTCGATATCTTCTGCGCTGAGTCGATATTCCCTGCTTAGTAGCGATACATTGCCATCTTGCATGTCGACGTTCCGCGTATTGCATAAATGTAATAATGCGACGAAGTTGCGTGATACCTCGTACTGGCTGTTGCTCGCTACGAGCTTCGAACACGGGACAACTTCACCTTCACGCAGTTCACCCAGAAGTCGACTGGCATAGTCCGGTAAACGGAACTTCGTTCGGTTGGCTTGCTCCTCGAGAATGGGCAGAATTCGATCTTCCCAAGCTCGTATCCTTTGATTCATCGGGTCGAGCTCAAGTATGCCAGTCTTATAGATTTGGCCATCCTCGACAATCGTTCTAGCCGTTGAATGAACTTCAGGGAAATCTGAAGTAGCTGATGATTGCGGAGCGTCACCTCGACATGGCACGTCTGAATCGTTGTCGGAACAACCTGCCAATATTAAGTATAATTAATTAAGTAATCTGATCTTTGAACAGCTTCGATGTGCAATAGTATGATGAGAATGACGGAGCAGTACGCTCGAATTACCCTGATTCCTGTACCATAATAGTGCTCATCGCTTTGTTTAATACGAAATCGATAATAGTTTCTGTAATAACAGCAGCATGTATTGAAATGAGCATTGGCCCTCTTGTGCAAAGAGCTCTCTCTTTATCAGTAATTATTCCTATATGGCTAACTTTTGGAGCGCTTATCCTGAATAATATACTGCTAACGTTTCACTAAGCAGTAACAGGAAATGCTCAATGATAAAAAATCGCAACTTACTTCTTTTAGGTGCTTGAGCAAAGCTACACTGCTGGCTTTGTTCCCAGAGGAATGACTGCATTGTACAGTTATAGCACAGATTGGAAGCACGGGTTATGTACAAAGTATTGATTCTTTATACATAGATTGGTAACGCGCAAAACTAGCCTCCTAGTATGGAAGATTTACATGCACCATAAATAAATGCCGAACCGCTTGACGCTACAACGTCATGAAACCGTGACATTTATCCTTGCGGACGGCTCGAGAACGCCATTATAAAACTATGTATTCGAGACCTTTGGAGTAACAAAAAGAGAACAACATTTGACACTGATGAAAAATGGATCATTACCTGCGTCCACCGCGCACTCCATCACTGATTCGCTCGGACTTTGCAGTCTAACCTCGAAATCCTCCTGACAGGAACTTTCGAGCTGCTCGACATCGCCATAAAAGTGGTTTGTAGTGTTGTGACGTAAAGCATCGTCTTTAATCTCGGGCACATCCGCCTAAAAAACAGAACACATCAATTTATAAAAACCTATTATAATAATTTAAAGAGTCATGAGCTTCACGAATTTGTTTTACAGCAGATACTACTGATAACACTGTACTAGTAACATGGCATGCTAACTCCCGGTTCGAACTTAGTTTGTAACGCATTGCATATCAGCTTCCAACGTATATAACTATGGTAGATAGAATTTGTAGCTTAGTTCACTAAAGCTTATCTAAGCTATCAGCCAATGTATCCTCGTTCATCCCAATATGGTTATGCATGAAGGCTTCACCGTTTAGCCAAACATCGCATGTAAACCTAAGGCTGTCACAAATTAAAACAACATTGTCATTATATCTAAAATATTTAGTAACATTTCTGTCTATTCCATCACGACGGTCAAAAAATACATTCCTAAAGTCTATCTATTTAAACAGCACATCATAGCTTATATATAATTCATATAAATCCAAACCTGTAAGTGATCGATGTTATGTAATGGACTCGTTGGCGGAAGATTTTTTTTATTTATGCTGTCTTCCGGTTTTCTTTCAGGGGGGCTGAAGACGTCAGAAGCGCCTGTCACCATTGACGAACCCTCAACCAACTTCTCCAATGAAAGAACGACGCCTTCCTCCTTCACGCCTCCCTTAGCAACGCAGTTAACTGTAGAAATTTCTTCTGCTGCTTTTTTTTGCTGTTCTTCAAGCTCCTTTGCTTTTTTCTCACTGCGTTTATTATGCCGCTGGTGTTGTAATAATGATAATTTGCAAAAGGACGCAATATTTTTTAATCACACTAACAAAAAGCATAATATTAAGCAAGCCACTTCTTTATTCACTCAGACAGTTAATGTCCTTCAGGTTATCTCAAGACAGTAATTAAGTACGATGCGTTTTGCAGAACAAAAACTCATTCCAGGTATTTCTAAAATCCAGGAATTAGTCATGTCTTTTCTATTAGTCTATTTATCTCTTTCGTTAATGTGCCTTATACACAATTGATCCTTGTCTTTTTTAGTTTACTTGCTCTGACTGTTTTAATTCCTCAGAAAATCAACGAACATTACTTCACACTTCCTTTCGAAATTCAAATCTAGGTACAATCTCAGTCAAACGATATACTACAGATACCCGCCATTTTCGATTACAAAAACAAGTTTAATAAACCCATTGTAACAGTTTAGCTCTAACTTCACAATGGGTGTTACTTCTTCCGAATGTTCTTCTCAAACCTGAACTTCATAGTAAATAAGTGAAAATGAAAGGACTCAAATACCTTTTTCGTAGATGTTTCATTTTTGCTTCTCCGCTTCTTCCCAGTCAGAAACTCATCTAGGGTCATTTCTGTTGGAAGCTTTTTCCCTCGGGTTTTTCGTCGGGTTTCACTACTAAAATTTCATAATGAGATATAAAGTTACAATATATTTCGCCTTAACGCCGGCAGAAACCGCCAACATTCCGAATAGGCAATTTTATATAGAACGAATATGACTAACTTTTTGACCGTACTGGTATACGTTCTATATGTTAATAACTTAAACTCCTTTTTCCAGAAACATATCACAGGAATATGTAAGGCAACTACGTCAACAGCGGCAAAAAAATTTGCTCGTTTCGTCACCTGAATAGGTCGAAGAAAATGAATGCGATCCGAATACCCTGTCTGAGCAACTAAAACTTACAATGCAATCGTGCCAGTTTCAGTAGAATTCAGCAATGGATCCGTAAGTCCCACGATGTGAGGAACAGATGGCGTTGATGTGAGGTCAGAACGTCCAAACATCGACTGAGCGGGTGAATCTCGAGGTGGAGTTGCTGACATGTCGTTGTGGCACATGCTATCGTCTACCCGATCAGACAAATCTGCAGATAATAATTAGAAAAAAAGAAAGCTGATTAGGCTAAAGACTACAGCTTTCAGAAACCATTCCCATATCAACCCGCAAAATGTTAGGCAGAAAAAGATAACCGATTATTATAGAATATCTTAGCTAAAACCTAACAACAGCGATATAATGGAATTGGAAACCTTTCCAAGCTCTACTACTTTGAGTTGAAATTATCTCTTCTTTTATTTACCACCACAAATGAGATCCGAAGACTGATTTCGTTTACGTTCCTCGTAATAACATAATGTCAGATCGCAGGGCATCCCGTCTTGGTTGACCGGCCAGTTAACTCGGAAATCATTTTTGCGACCTATCAGATCGCCGTTTATGTCGCGTAGTTCAACGTGAACTGAAACCTATAATAATCAGTTTTCTTATTAGGACTTCCAGACAATAGTTGCTTCCGGAAAATATAAACGATCAATTTTATATTGATATACACAATACAAGGGTTCTTAGGGCTTTGGCATTAAGAATAACAAGGCTTATAGGTATTGTGATATTGGCAATACTTCTTTAAACGAAGCAGCAGCTAGGAGGGATGCAAGCTGACTACTTCTGTCAAGACCGAATAAACTTATAACACCAATTAATGGAGATCAGGGCTTAATATAACAAAAAAAAATCTATATAATGTAAAATTTTCAATTCAGTGCAAAACATTTTTGAAAAATTTACCTCGGGTTTGAGCAGACAGGCACGTAGTTGTGTAATATAAGTTAAGCCGACGTTGTTAAAATTCATTTCATCACCATCCGCCAACTGCGGTATGTCATCAGGCGATATCAGTTTGTATTCATCCAAACTGAAATTAGAAATATTAATGATAGCAAGAAATATTTAATATCAGGTACAATTAAATAACACGAATGTTTCTGGGGGTAAGCATTGATAATTAAGCTACTTTATTTTTATGGCAATGCTCGTGCAAGGCGGGGCTTATGAAAATACTGTGTACATGCAAACCACCACAAAGTATAAATCTCATCGCTCGAGGCTGAGAAAACACTAAGGACATGACTTCCTATTGTTTATAATTAGTAGAACGTTGCCTTTTCGGCCCCATTATGGCATAATTACCCGTCAACCATGGCTTTCCTCTTTCTTGTCCGTTTTGATTTTGAGTTCTCATCAGCATTGTCCTCGTTATCTTTTTCTTTTCGTTTAACATTGTACGCTGTTTTCTGAAGATCTTCAAAGAGTTTCTCGAGATAATCAACTTTTCGCGCATACACCTCTTTACTCGACTGAAAAAATGAAAACCGGTTTAAATGTACACATTAATGTAATGGACAAAACAGTAAGCCCTAGTACATTGGGAGGTAAGGCTGTATTCATCGTTCGTGAGGAATGCGTTAACCCCTCATTAAGGCAAATTTAATACAGTATCAGATTTGTCGATGCTATAAAGATATGGTGTACCGTTTCTTTCATGAGATCATTTTAATGAAACAGTAAGCAACTAATAGATCTTACAAGTTAGTGAGATTAAATTATAATGTTTTTGAGCTTATTGTCTGTGGTAAACACAATAACCCCTACAAAACATAAAGGTAGGAAAATCATGGTCTTTGTAAACAAGCAACCGGCAATACGTGGGCCAACTGACTGTATAATAAAACAAATTGAATACGCATGCAGTATGGGGATCTGCTATTAAAATTACGTGATAATGAAAGATGAAAACAACCATAACTGTAATCATTTGGATGTCATTTGCGTTTAATGTTTCAATAAATTCAAATTTCAAGAAACAAACCATTGATACGTAGCATATCCCGAAATACCAACCTGTAGTATTAAACCGGCATTGGCAAAATTGATAGTGTCGATAGAGATCTGTTTCACTTCCTGGATGTATTTTTCTAGAACGTCAAGGCTCACCGCAAAATTTTTGTTTAGGTCCCGGATCGGTTTGAGCATTTCTGCGTACCGCGACTCCAGCTCGCGAATTAACTCGACGTGCTCATTCGGGCTAGTGCACCTTTCAGCCACCTGTTCCATAGGTATTATGAAAATAGGTCGAGAATAAAATATATAAGATATAATAAAATGCTTGACTTATTTCATGTGCCCCTTTAAAATTAGACTATCTTTTGCTTAAGCACTGAAGTATGGAAATGTAGCAAATCTTTAGGATTTTACGTTCGGAGGTAAAACACACGATATGACTGGGACTTGACTGGGAAATTAGATTACATTGAGGATAACGTTTTATGTAACAATGGTACACTATTTTATAGAGATTTTTTTCAACACAAAGCTTAATGGCCGGAGCAATTAAAAAGTGGATTTTTATACAACCATTTAGGCAGCTTATAACAGCTGTTTTAAAGGAAAAGAACAACTTTTGTATTATTCAAATTTATTTTACAACTTTCATAGATATTTCAACTCTATTCGCACCGCTAAAAATGGATTATCACCAGGAATTGATGTTTTAATTTATCTTTGCGTTTACAGTTTTTTTTTTTAATTAAAAGTTATGGTAAATAAATAAGTAATGTGCCATATTTGATCAGAACCGGTTGAAGTAAAGATTACTGTGAAATATAATTGATTTTTGGAACGGAGATACTCTATAATAGGCAACCGCGTGAAACATGCAAATGGCTCAACGTGGTATATTGTTGAGCACCCTCACCCAATACAAGCATTAAGAATACATATGAAACAAAAACATCACATGTTCCGGTAAAATTAAAGGCGCCATCACTAAAAAAACAAGATAAATTATATCTTGCACTTGATCTAAGCATTAATCCTGTATCTTGCTAACTACACCAGCAGACTATATATATTGGCTACTTCGTCGATTTTTTCAGAAAGAATTTCGTAATGATACTACTTGCACAAGCCAACATCAATACTCCGATGGCCCACATCCATGTTGCTGGCCGATGGAGTTCTATACACGTCCAGTAACAGAGTGAGATTCACTACTTTTTGCGGAACTGCGATGCAAACAAAGACACGTATATAATAATCCATCATTGAAATCACGGTCAAGTGATAACGTGGCCGTCAAATCTAGCCTGCCGACTTAAATGAATCACTATTCATAAAAACGTCTTCTTGATTTTCAGAGTGTCGACCAACGAGCTGAGAAGCCCGTCTTGATACGCACTGCAATTTTAATAAAAACATTAAGTCCGGTTGTATGGAAGCGCACACTTTCTATCATTAAACACTTGTTAAATTATTTTCGTTCGATCTACCACACAACGACACCATTGGCAGGTGCGGAGGATTTTCGGCCACTTCATTGTGCAACAATAAAAAGCCCAGCAAATTGGTAATCCATTTCTTGCAGTCTCAAACGATCCCTCCATTAAAACGGTGTTTATTTATGAGGCTAATCACGCTCACAACGTGTATTTTCGTCTAATTCTCCCATCCTGTTCATCTAGTTTATATGTTCTTGCCCATAAAATCCGATAGAACTTAACAAAAACAGCATCCTCAGGCGCACAAGCATGTAATCATGTTTCTCGATTTGAATGCTCAACAAAAATTTGTCCTTTTTGGAACCTTGATAGCGTATTCACAAACAAAGAAGTAACTACATCGACTGTGTTTTATTAAAAAGACCAGACTGGCAGGAAGGAAGCGTGCTGACAAAGCCGAATGTTATAGAGGTTCTAGGTTTCATGTCTCGCCACTCAGCAAGTGCCGCAGAAACCGCAGTTTTGCTAATCGACCATAACGATGATTTTTCGGCGGCGCTGACAGCGGCAGAAAGCTTCTAAATAAGGAGAAAATTTGGAACTTTCGTAGAATGACATCCGGTGTAAGAATGAATAGTGAAGAAAAATATTGTAAAGAAGTTAACGTTCTCGTTTCGTTTAAGGGAATGATATGTGAGTGGAGCGGTCTGATAGTACAGTAAAGCAGACCGAGTCAGTTTGACTTAACTAACCATCCAATCTTTCCAACGAACTTAGAAACGGAGCCAAACGGAACGGAGGCCGCAGCATTAATTAAGTGTATATCTACATTTCGGTGCTACTGTGCGCCTAAATCGAACGCCTTTGAGCTCTGTACCCAGCGCCTATTTTTGGCGCCAAAGTGGTCCGCGAGTGGATTCGAAGGTTTGTCTACGCTTACAGTATATTAATACAATTTCTCAATCGATATAAATGTCAGGTCTTACTTGGGATAACTGGGAACAAAACTAGTGATTTCGAGAATGCTAAAAGCAAACCGTATCACTTGCACAACAATCAGGTTTTCACCCAGCTGACGTCGGTAGTCTAGTGGACGCCAATGCGCTTTGAATCGGTTGTTTCTAGATAACCGCTTGATGATAGCAGGTATTTAATTAAACACCAGTTAGACGAATCCACGTAATAATTGGATCAGCTAAGTAATACACAAAACGTAACACAACGGAACCGTCGGGATAGAATTTTCACTAATGTGAAGGAGATGTCTTTTTTTCTATCTTGGGTTTGATGTCGGCTAAACTAGCAGCAGTAATGACGTTAAATCGTACTCGCAGCGAATTGACACTTACCCGGCCACGTATAACGCTCATCTTGGATGGCCTCTGTTAAAAAAATCTACCAGCACTATACAATCACTACAACATAAACACAGTCGGCCATTTGCTATGTATTGATGTACTGAGGGATATTTGGAATCAGAAGTGATGAGTAACACAGAATACCCTATTGACCAACACTAGCAGACGACGCGCGGAAAAAATGGCGCCAAATAATCGGTCACAGCGCTCTCATTTAATTTGTCTTCAACGGAGATCTTTTTGAAGCGGGCCCTGCTCTGTTGTTATAAATAGGATAGCTTAACTATTTGAATACTCTTGAGTTAGATGACTCATTAAAGCTATTTAATTAGGCTACACTATAGAGACTACGCAGAGAGAATTAGAAGTATAACTTTATTTTGCTAATTAAATTAATATGGTAACAGATACGTATACAGAAGCATATTATAAAAGTACTTTATGACTTCGAGTTTGTTGGTAATCATTTATATTCAGCATTTCAAGAATCAGTTTTAAATGGTCTAATCTAGAACATGGATAGAAAGCTCAGCTTCATAAGGCCAACCACTGCCTGAGTATGTACAAGGAATGCAAACTAACATTCTGTTGTCACCAAAAATTCCGTTAGGTATCTCATAGCGTAGGCATACAGCATGGTTTCTGGGCATTTCTGAACAAATTGTCTATTTCGCGAATAATTTGTTACATTGCTTCATTTTTATGATATCTCTCGTTAATAATTTTTCTTCGAACAACGGCTGAGGAAATTACTCGGGCAACCTCTGAGAAGTAACCATCCTCAAGGTCGGACAGCGCCTTGGTAAAGTATTAATTAGGTGGATCTACTTTTTGAGGTTGTAGATGAGATGTATGGGCGACAGGGCTATTCCTTGCGAACAAAAAGTATGCTAGTTATGTATCAATAAACAAACCTGATAGAGACATCAATAACCTGTTAGCCTATAGGCTGACACGTCTATCAAACGCAGTTGATAAGTTAGTAGAAACGAATATATTAATTGAAGAACACGAAAATCTATTTTAGATAACCCATGTGGGTTTATAAATGAGTCGATCAAGATGCCGCAGAGGTATTGGAGGTAGAAAGAGTCGAAACGGAAAAAACAAGGAAGATTAGAAAGGGGATTATATACCATAATGGCATCTGACATTAGAAGGGCACTCATCTCTATACTATGATAGATCATAATAAAACGACCTGAAAAAAACAGGTGGAATTTTAGCAGCGTAGGGTCATCGCGAGTTACTTAAATTATAGGTACCATTATACACAAAGGCACTATGTATCGTATGATTAAAGGAGAACCAAGGCTTCAGTGCTAGGCTTTCTTTTCTAAAAAAGGGCTAGCTAGGCTCGGTTAACCTGATAGCGTTCGCTCATGGCCTAGTAGTAGGCAGAGGTAGTGTAAAACTTTTATTTCATTTAAAAAGGCCTGTAAGATTGTCGACACTTAGATCAACGACCCTGGCCTCGAATTAGCCCCAGAAAAGATGAAGCTGGTAATATTCAACAGGCAAAAGAACGTGGGTAATATAAGTCTTAAATAACATTGTCATCCAGTCCTACGAATTGATAACATCAAATATTTGGGAGCAATTGACGATAATACACCGAATGCTGGAGCACATGTCGATTATGCTACCAATAAAGCCATTAATGCGCGTAATAGATGAGCTAGAGAAGAAACTCGGAATTTTGAGAACATATCATTTAATAATCTTGAGTAAGTCACCTAAAGGGCCAATGTGTCTTCATGATCTCAGATTCTAGAGAAAAATTAGTGAAAATGTGCCAGTTTGTAGATGACATTCTTAGGGAAAGAACAGAAATGTCAACTGGGTTTAACGAACGTAATAAAATAAGCCCTTTGTTTTTGTTTCCATTTCCGTTTGCGTGTCCTTCCCTGTCTCTTTCGACAGTCCGAAGTGGAATCGTAGTAAGCCTAGGCTTTTTCAATCTCTTAGCAATAAACACTTCACATGTCCGTATACTTTTTTGACTAGTCAACTCAAATCATCAAGGAAGCCATGCTTTAGGCTGAGGATCTAAAGTCTCGAACTATCTGGATAGATTAGGCGAGGTATGCATAGAGCGGGTCCGTCACTAACCACCTGCAGCAAAAAAAAAATGAATGCTTAAAAAGCGAAATAACTATAATAATACTTAATATAATAATAATAGAATAAAATATTTAAAGATTAAATGACTTTCATCCTTATTAAAGTCTAAAGTGTACGTTAATCATTTACTAAATCGTTTTAAGAACTGGACAGAGACAGAGAGAATTACTGCGGTCGTATTTATCAAATTGATCTAGTTCTATTGTCATGGGCAGGTTTTCATGCAGCGGGTCCACATAGCATGGACAATAGGTCAAATATTTCCCTAAAAATTCGCTACTCGGGCTTGACTTACAAAGCTTTCTCTAATTGAGGTTTTCATTGAAAGTGCGGAGTTGTAAAATAATGCACTGTTTTCGTATTTAACATAGCCAGATATTCATGTAAAGCTGAAGAGGGTTGGTTCTTGCAGACAACCTGATCCCCTGTTATGGCTACTTTTTAGTTTTCTCTCTCTATGAAGTAACCCGTACTTTCGATTTCATTTCGTTTAGGAATGGATTTTTCGTTATCTTGAATACGATCCACTTTCGTGGTCCAGATAATCCTCTTTCAACTCATTAACTTGTTTAGATATCTACAGAGAAGGGGGTTGCATGTTATTGTGAAGCAAACTTTACTTCATGTCGGGCATGAAAAAAATAGTTGTGGCTGGCTGTCACACTGTCTCTGGCTCAATTCTTTTGTATAATGAATCTGAACTTACCGAAATTAGCACCTCAATTTTTTCTATAAAATATATCAATAGTCTGTAAAAGCACTATGAAATTTCGAGACTAATAGTTTTGACATTTCAATGTTTTAGGTTTGTTTTTGGAAAATTATGGCTTAACTTCGTGTCTTTTGAAATCGCACTCTCATGTATTATGCAAAGATAATATGGTATGATATGATTATATACTAACTATATTGAAAGCATAACTGCTTATCGTTGTCTCAGATTGTTTATTAGCACGCCAGAAGCCATCTGAATTTACGGCGATGCTATCCGCTGAATGGCTCATTATCGCGTATCATAGATCGGTTCTTTCGGATAGTATACTTTTAGTATCTTACTCTTATTTAGCTTACGAAATTATAGCTATTTTAATAACGAGAAATCAGGTTTGTTATGGCACAAAATTAAGCCCGTGCGCATTCGATCAAATTCTCCGAAGGTTTACACTTATAAAATTTTATCGAATCACTTATGTAAGTGCTATAATTCTCGTTTTTCCATTTACTTCAGAATCACTACAAAAATAAGAGCTTTTTATGCCTATTATAGATGACGAAAGCTGTCACGTCAAACCTCTCATCGAAGGATTTCCGTACGTATGTTGTGCTTATACCATCTACTTATGCAGATATAACCATGAAAAGGAAAGTCCCTTGACTGTTTACCATCGTAAAATGCCGTTTCTCTTTTCCCTTTTACCGTCGCGCCTGTAGGTCGGCTCTAGTGAATGACTGCGTTGACAGAAATACCACATCAGTGGGAACATGCGGTTAGAGCGCTGAAAAAAACAGAGACCTCAAGAGGAAAATTTTTGTCGACAACCGAGACAGCGGAGCGAACAAAAAGGGTCCCCAAAGACGCATAACTCTTTAGATCCGTATTTTAAAACAGCAGTCCCAACCGACTGCAAGGATTCATTACTGTGTTACTGTGCATCGCAGCTATATGCCAGTTAACGCATGTTGTAAAACCAACGCTGAAAACGGGTATGGAAGTAAACTGCTACACATATACCTTTTGCAGTTTTTTTTTGCACCGACCAGCTTCAGGCGGCGAAAGGTTTTTATTACTATCTCGGACAAGAACACGTGTGAAATAAAGTAAGCAGAAAGGCTAGAAATGCGATTGCGGGGGATTCGTGCTGCATATGGGGTGCATTTATACGAACTGAGGTCTGCATGCCGGCGTCAATCGAACTAGCACTCGAAGGGATTTGTGGTGAAAGCAGACATGGTACTTTCTCGAGTAAAATACTAGTCATATGGCAAGTCGGCTGCAGCTGGCCGGATCTTTATGTCCATTTCTCCACCCTGCTACGAATGCCATCTCTCGATAATTGTTAAGAGATGATTGCTCTCAGATCCTCAAACTACCCACTTGCACACATGGCTGGAGAGAATAAAAACAGACGATAAGACTAGATTTCAGAGAGTTGTCCGTACGTCAGTTGCATTTTGCGTGTTGCGTATTGTAGCATGGTGCAGCCGGAGGCGTAGAAGTGAACCTCAGAGCGCTCATTTAGAATTCTGAGAAGTTACAAGAGGCGGTCAAAGCAACAAAATAACGGTTATTGACAGGAATAAATAACGAAACTGCAGTCGCAAAATTGTACCATTTGGCGACCAATGACCACCACAGGTGGCCCATATGGTAATTAAACAATTTTCAAAAAGGCATGGACCGGCTATGTCCAGCTTAAAAATATACAGAAACTTGGTCGCCGTTTGCAGCTTGCATGATTAAGGTCTGTACTCGAAGATGCAAATCGGCGCTTTTTGAGTAGCCTTGCGCGACAATGAGGACAAAGCCCACCTGACCGAAAAAAGGCCTCGCTTATCTCTAAAAGCTCTTGTTGAGGCCTTATCGTGGCGACACAAGTGTTATCAAAATGTATTCTTTCATAGATATTTGTTCCAACGAGACAGTAAAAATTGCGAGGGCTAATAAATCAGCAGGTAAAGAAATGTGCCTATGAGAACTATGAAACGACCATTGTCAGAGACGAATTGATAGAGGCACGAGTCTCAATATGGTCAGAAAGGCTCTTTTCAATGAAGCTGATATAGTAATGTAACTATTGAGGTAGGCCTTCGAGACACGTAAGAGAAACGATGGAGTACTTCAGCTGATTGAAGGGGATCTACATGATACCATATACAATAACGGATTTGCTGAATAAGTCGCGGCTGTGCGCATGATATAAACACAACGCAAGGTAAGATAAACATGCGAACT